AAAAAAAAAAAAAAAAAAAAAAAAAAAAAAAAAGATTTAGCCAAATAGAAAATCAGAGACCTTGATAGTAACAACAATAACGATAATGATAGACTTTCAGAAAAAAATGTCTATTATTCAATTTTTTCCTCTACAAAAACAGTAAATCAACAACACTAAACATGAAAGTGTAGAAGAATACTCGTTAATATATGCATAACACCATATAGCTTCGTAATTGTCCATAAATAATCCTATTTACTATTCATAGAATTGTATTTGCTTCTTCCTTCTTATTCCATAAATCTTTAGTCAAATTTTGATAAAAAAAATTATACAGCTGTAAATGCCGCATGTGTGCTGTTCGTGCTGCATATCCGAAATATGATCGAAAAGCATGGAACCGTTTATTTTTTATGTGGACATATTTATTTATTTCTTTATATATTTATTTATAAATTATCTCCAAAAGAATATCGTCTACTTTAATCAAATTTTACTTGACGAATTAAATCAGAAAATGAAAGAAAAAGCCGTAACCTAAAAAGTGAAAAAAAATGGTTACACTTTTTTTCTTTTTGATGATTTATGAAAGCTAAGTGCTTAGCAAAAAAAAAAGATTGGTTTAATAAGACAAAAAAAAATAAGCGATCTTTCAGATTCACCAATAATGGTGGCGGCTTTTCAGCACTTTAGATTAGCAGTGTTAATTGAAAATGCAACAGCTCAATATTCATCCTGCCACGCACACAGTATACATGAAATTACCGTAGTCGCTTAACGTTACTAGAAAATGGTCTGTTGTTTTTACTTAAAATAAGAATTTCAAAAAAAATTAGCCAAAAATTATAAAAATAACTAAAATTATTTGGCACTATATTGCTGTATTACAGTCATATGGTGTTAAAGAGTACGATAAATATAGGCATTACATTCAACATTTGACCTTTCCTAATTTAACAAGTGTTATATTTCAGAAAGCTAAAAATAACCGTTTTTCTAATAGCATATGAAGGTAAAACTGAACAACAAAACTAAAAGAAAAAACTAAACTATTAAACTGAAATCGCTGTGAAAGCAGTATAAAAATCTAGAGCAATAGCTTAAACATTAAAAGTTTAAAAACACACTAAACATTTTCCAAATTTAACAATTATTGTTGCTTACTGATGATCGAATTTATTCGTCAACTTAATGTCGTATATCGTTTAGCTGATAAGAACGATAAACTTCAATAAAGAAAAATATTGTTTTATCATCAAATACTTCATAAGTACAGAAAAAAAAAAAACGTTGATTAGCCTAACTTTCAGTAAAACAATCCAAGTGAAAATTCTTTGTTAAACAGTCAGCTTCACAAATAAATTTGATCATTATTTTCAACAACAGAACTGAGCTGAAGAACAAATCTATATTAAAATTACAACTTTTAAATTAACCGGTGTAAATATTGTTTTTTAAATAAGATGTAAGAGGCAAACAAAAAAACAGCAATAAAACATCCAAGTTACGTGGTACAAGAAACGGCGAAAATACTTGGTTATGGCCTGCTTAATTTTACCGGATTTCCGTACAGGAAGCTTCAGAAATTACACTTTTACCAGAGGCGAAACTAAGAGTTGCTATTTCCTTGGTAAAACCTCTTTTTGACGATTCAAAAAAAAGGAAGGGAAGAATAAATTAACTGCACGCTGCAGAACGAAAAAATTAATAATGATTTACCATATTTACTGAAAACTGTCTACAAAAGAGAATGGTAATAACGATTTGCGCAAATAAAGCAGTAGTCTAAAGCAAGTCAAAATTAAGATAAAGTAATGCAAAGAAGAAAAAAAAGTGATGCAAAATAGAAGAATGAAAAATGTCGTCTCTTTAGCTTACCAAGTGAGAAATTTTCCAGAGCCTTTTTCGATCTGTTGTTCAACGCTGAACCCTGGTAGTCCATCGACAAAGCGTGAAGAAACCGACAAGCTTTAAACACTCATGAATTGCAACCAAAAAATCGTCTTGAGTTTCTGACTAACGAAAACGATTTAGTGCAAATCGCTAAACCAGCAAATGACAATTTTCGTCTTGGCGGAGCTTATCTACCGTATCGGCTGGAAACCATAGCAACATCCAAATTAGAGGCTCTGGAAATGTTGCTTGCTGACAGCCGTCTTTGAATCAGATAACCTTTTCCTGGATTTTTATTACTTTTCTTAACTTCTTAAACTTTCCCTCACCAATTAAAACTTTAAAAGCATCATCATCATCATCTTTATCATCATCATTATTTGCCGTTCATCAACGAAATGTCCGCCATTTCCATAAAGGTACTGCCACATGATTGACAGCCCCATCAAAAAAGTATGCCATCAAGCGGCAGAAACACCAAAAATAAAAACTTTTAAGAAATAAAATTTAGACTGACCGTCTTTTAGAGTTATTTCATGAGCTGTTTATTTGGTTGGCATACTCCATTATTTTTCCGACAAATCATTTTCACACCTCCATCCTATTTCATTCTTAAATTTTCTATTTCAGAATGATCGTGTGCAGACCTGTTCAACGACTTACTGTATAAATTTCCTTCACTAAGCAGTCGGCTACAAACGCTGTCAAGTGAAAAAGATTAAGTGATTTTGTTAATTCTTTACATATTTTCAAAAGATACAGTACCCGTCATAAACAACAACTTCAAAAAAGTTTGCAAAAACTGGTGTGCTTCCTTTTAATCAATAATTAAAGCGTCGCCAGAGCAGTCGTCAAACAGTAATGGAAAAACTGAAAATAGAGCTAAATGTTACTACAGTTTTGTGGGTCCTGAATCCTCTCAAATATGTTCAGTGCCGTCAAAATTGTAAGACGATGCGCTTTAAGCAGCTGTAAGGATAAGCTTCATTAAAACGTTACTTCACACAGTACTGCGTTATACAAGACAAAGTTCCTTGACTATTCAAGGACAATTACTTACTTACCTTTGGTGCCAAAAACTAAGAGCAAGTCAGACGAGATTTCCGCCACCAAACGGCTACCGAATTCACCACTACATCTTTTAAGCTTACAAGACGCATAGTCTAATAACGACCAGTTTAATCCAAGATTATAATTTAATGATGCCACTGTACTATTCTTATCCATCTCGAATTTATCAATAAACGCTGAAAACTAACTTTTGGCAAACAATTAGTTTCTCTTTCTTTTTTTTTTCTTTGACAGTAACTTTTAACATAGGAAAAACCGTTGAAGCAGTTAAGGACGAAAAAAATCAAGATATGTCCAAAACAATTTAGCCAAAAAAGACCACTTCTAAGTGTTCAGATTCAGAATTCATAACCTAAAAACTACGAGGATAACTTCTAACTCCTAATATGTGCAAATGATTCCGGTGGACTTCATACAAAAAAACCAATAAACGCATTCCTTCGAAAACATGTTCAGGCACAATCAAGATGGCTACGCAGTAACTTCACAGTTAGATACGTTGCTGAACCCGCCCGTGTTTCATAACTCAACACACTCTAATGCACCTACGACATGCAAAGCTACTGTCTCTTAACCTACCAATACCAGCACACCTGACCAACAAAAGCCTATAAATCTACGAAAGTTGGCGTACATACACCCAGCCCATAACGTACCAAATGCAGCGAAGTGTACAAAACTTATAAGTCCTCACAATCTTTCTGTTTCAGTTATTCCAAAACAAAAAGAATACTATAAAACTTGAGAAGTTACAATATGCTACAACAAAAAATTCAAAATTTACTAACGATTACTGATAACTACACAGAGAAATAAGTTCATCAAGAATTAGAGCAGAAAGCTGTCGTATCACAAAACCCAGATCCAAACAACACTGCAGATAGAAATATTTCACAAAAACAACTACTAAACAAATTCTTCACACAAAAATTGGAAACATGAATCAGAGTACACTGCCCAGACAAGATCGAGATATGAATATATGCAAGAAAAAAGCCAAGCATTTGCATTCAAAACTTAATACTGTGAATGCAC